ATATATATATATTATAGAAGGGATTTGTTTATTTCAGTAATAAATTTTCCTAAATTTATTTCGTTTAATAATTTATATTTTATAATAAATTGTAATGATCTAATCATTAAATTTAAAGTATTTAATACATGGATTATGTTCATAAATTTTTAAAAAATTTAAAAATCATTTAATACTTTATTTCATTAATTTAAATAAATAAATAATTATAAAATTATTTTATACGATGACTTAAATTAATAAAATAATATATCAAATAATTTTCAAATTTTTTAAAAACTTGCAAACTTAATCTATTTATTAAAAATTTTAAATTCAATGATTAGATTGTTAAAATTTGATGTAGAAGATGAATTATTGAATGGAATAAATCTATGTACACTTACTCCTAAAGTAAACAGATTCCTCCTTTCATATATATATATATATGAGGAAGGATCTGTTTACTCTAGGAGTAAATAAGTCTAAGTAGACTTAGTTCATTCAATAACTCATGTTCTACATTAAATTTCAACGATCCAATTGTTGAATTTAAAGTTTTAAATACATAGATTAAATTTGTAAATTTTTAACAAATTTGAAAATTATTTGATACTTCGTTTCATTGATTCAAAATAATGTATAAAATAATTTTATGATTATCCATCAATTTGAATTAATGAAATGAAGTATCAAATAATTTTCAAATTTTTTAAAAATTTGCAGACTTGATCTATATATTAAATTTTTTTAAATCAACGATTAGATCATTAAAATTTGATGATAACATGAGTTATTGAACGGAGTAAGTCTAGATAGACTTACTCGTAAAGTAAACAGATCCCTCATATATATATATATAAGGTTATAAATAATATAAGATTAAAATTTACGTATATAAAATAATTATTTTTCTAACACATTATAGTTTATACTCTTGTAGTGATTAATATTTAATGAAGTTCCTAAGAAAAAATGAGCTTGGTATGATTAAAATAATTAAATTTTCATTAAAATAAATAAATCAACAATCACTGCCTCCAACTAGTCATACACCTCTTAAATTGAACTCCAAACTACAAAGTGCATATGGAACTTAAACAAAGAGGGAACAAAAACACTAGTCTACAATATTGACAAGGGAGAGAGAGGAGCTGAGGGAACACAAAAAACGTGTACTGTTTCAATTACCATGGCCAGAAAATTAACGGGGATCCATAGCTTTCGGCTCTTCAAAAACCTATTAAAATTAATCTTAGAAAGAGACGAATCATCAATCATATGATAATTTTCACAAAAGGAAAAAAAATTGTATATATATAAGTATATATATTTGTTTGTATCCTTAATTATTTATCGTTTATTTTGTTGAACTGCAGTCATCACAAACAAAAATTTATATTTCTTTTGAGACAAGTTTTGATCTCCTAATGTTTTATAGAAGACTAACGGCTATTGGTTGAAATAGTAAGGAGTTTTTTTTTACTCAACACATTAATCGAAATCCAAAATAATTTATGAATATCAAGAGTATCAAACCAAAATCAACGTACCATAGAAGGGGAAACAAATCAATGTTTAGAAACATCTAAAACAAACACGTGCTTATTTGTTACGAGTTTCATATGACAACGAAATTCCAATTCCAAACATGTGCTCAACCATCTTAAATAATAAACATCCTTCTTTTAAAGTTGAAATTCTCAAAGTCAAACCAAATGATGTCACAACTCACAAGTTACTTACAAATTTCTTGTAGCTCCCAATTAGTTGATGTCTATTATACTTCCAACTGAATATAATATGTAGTTGGTGCTTAGACTATGCTTAATAATTATTTACAACACCAATAAATATGTATGTGCAGATACCTTTAAATTTAATCTAAATGCACCAGCTCATTGAAGATCAAATATTGGTGGATCTATATTTCATTGCAACAAATGTGCTTCTATGCCAAGTTCAGAAGTTTGTTGTTTACAAGTGGCAATAACACAGAATAGTAATTTGGCTCAAGCACTAGAGCAAGACCTCCTTCTAGGAACTAGATGTTCCTCTGCTGACCCTTTGGAAACAGAATGCCTAACTCTCCCTTTTTCACTGCCTTCCACCCACCTCTTTAGCCTTTCAAGCAACTTTGTCCTTTTTGAACAAGCACTGTCACTATGATCATGGCCACTAGGATGCTCATCAAAGGCAGGATCACTATGATGTTCCTCCAAAATGGAATTGTGCAATTCATGTTCTGAGTCATAATGGATAACTTCATCACTTCTTCCAAATTCCAATTCTATATGGGTTATATCATGATTCTGTTTCTGTTCATGATGCCTCATTAGATCATGCCTCAAACAAGCATTGGTCCACCTCAAGTAAATGAGTTCTTTAGCTTCATCTGCTCGTTCCTTCTTGACCTTCTCCAATTCATCCAGAAGCTGTTTGTACTCTTCCCTACTCACATCTCCAGCTTCAATCTGCAATTAGAAAACCTTGTATTATAATGTGTTGCGATACAAACAAGTCCTACGTCAATGAAATAAGATAAGAAATAACAACTTATATAGCACAAACATACTTCGATGTAAGAGAGGCTTTTTGGTGATGATTAAAAACAAAACCGTGAAGGCTTAGGCCAGTGTAATAACCTTATAAAAATAATTTTCATAAAATATCCATTCAGACAAATACTATAAAATAATTCCAACAGCGGTATCAGAGCCACCATGGTAACAACCATCATAACTCATAACATATAATGTGATATATAAAGACAGATTTCGCTGTATGAAAGGTTAGGTCCCTTGTTTGAGTGGAGGATTGTTGGGATACAAATAAGTCTCACATCAATAAAATAAGACAAGAAATAATAATTTATATAGCATAAACATACTTCAATGATTGAGAGGCCTTTTGAATAATAACTAAAAGTAAAACCGTGAGGACTTAGGCCCAAAGCAGACAATATCTCATCATTGTGGAGTATGTTTGTGTAATATAACCTTATAAAAAATAACTCTCATAAAATATTTCCTCAAACAAATACTATAAAATTAGGATGCTAATAAACTCTCCTTCCAAATTTAATTTAATTGGAAATTTGGAATACACTATTTTTTTCCTATCATTCAATCATGGATTGTTATATAAATGAAAATATTTAACTTTTGTAATAATTACTCTTACAAATCATATTTAGGATGAATTCTAATTGGTTGATAGTACACTACAGTGTACCGAAATTAAACTCTCAAAGAGTAAAGCATTTACATAGTCCAACCCTTTTTATGACATGCCAATATATGATTGAATACAAGTTAAACCTGACACTAAAAGTATATCAAAATTAAAATCATAAATACTATTATAGGTATTCTTGTTTATCATAGTTGATCTGATAAACCTTTTAGATTTCATGCAGCAAATGATTGGTTTTGTACTTATCCATTGCTTACCTTAGAAGCATATGATTTTTCTGCAATGTCAAGCTTCTTCAGAAGTTCATTCTTCTCAACCTGCAATTGATCCAAAGTCCTTTGCAGCTCTTCCATTTTTTCCTCAAGTTTACCTATCACATTAATTTTTGTTTCCAAATCATCACGGCTTCTCAAGATTTCTGCCTCTTCCACTTTGATCTTCAGAGCCTGTTCCTGTGCCAAGCGAGTTTGAGCCTTTGATTTCCTCACTAACTTCTCAAACTTCCTCCGAAGCATTCTATTCTCAGATTTGCACATCTCAATCTGTTCCACAACTCTGAGATATTGAACAACAAAACTCTCCAACCTCCTATTCTGTGTCTCCATCGATGAAATCTCCCTATCCAATAAGTCAACACGAGCAGTCTCTAGTGACAACATGTTTTTGATCTCCCCAACCACACTTTCTTGTTCTTTCAAATCACAATAACGATCAAACTGCAATCTCAAGGCCAACTCTTTCATTTGCATACCTTCAATCCTGCTTCTTAAGCCATTAATCTCCTCTTTTAAACAAGGGGTGTCATGGATCATAGAGCTTTCAGCAACAACACTATGTCCTTCATCTTCCATACAAGAAGAGAGGCTATGACTATGACTATCACAACTCTCTTCATATTTAGACTCATGTTGGGAACTGGATATAGAAGAGGCTTTAGAGAGGCTTTTCTTTGCCACGAACCAAGCATAAATGCAACCAGCGAAAGACACAGCCAAAGGAACACCAGCTTTGAGGATCACTGGCTTTAGGACCTCATGCTTTGATGTTGTGTTTTCCATCTTGAACATCAAAGGCAAGTTTCAGCAATTTTGTTACACTTTTATTTCGATCAAAACCCAATGGAAGACACAAAAAATCTTGATATTTGTTATGCTAGCAAAGGTTTGAAAGATGGTTTGCATAGTGTGCCATTGTGTCATTGGAATTGGTTTTTCTTTGTTGAGAGGAAGAAGCACAATGATATAGCTTTTTGACTTCCCCATGAGGCCTTCTACGCCACCAAATGCTGTCAACTAGCCTTGTTCGTGATCTTTGGAATCTAATTCTTTTCTGGTTTAATAAATTTTTGGGCTTCTTTTCTTCTATGGGAAATCATACGTGTGATGTTATAGTTTCCACATGTTCAAAGATTAAGCATATATAGTGGAATCCATTGGGAATTACTAATTTCGAGAAGTGCACTTCACAATATTCATACTATTCAAATGTACCTCCGAAATAAGCCACCCAAAAGCTTTATAAAAGCTACTCTAGTGAACTTATTTTTAAGCTTCTTTTCTATTTTTTTATTAAGAATAAACTCTCTTTTTTTAAAGATTTTGTTGAAAAGGTATTTGATTTAACTTCTAAAAAAGAAAAAGAAAAAGAAAACTAGAGCAAACACTACATAAATACTTATTTTTTGTCCTATAAATACGTAGTCTAATAATCTAATTCATTAATATTGATGTTGTAATTTTAATTGACAAATCAAAAGTCAAGTATATATATGGTTGTCATTGACGAGACCAATTTTGTTAATATTCAATATTTAATTATTTATTATTGTCATGGTCAATCCTCCTAAAAAAAATATTAAAATCTTTAGAGGCCATTAGAATTAGAGAATCACACATTGAAAGCATTCACTAAATAAAAAAGATCTTAAGCCCTAAAGTTAGAAGCTTCATGTTTTATTTAGGATAAACCCATTTAAGACATTAGAGAAGCATATTTCGTCTTCATTTTCTTTACTTTCATTTTTACGTTTTAAAAAAATCGTTACAATAATTACATTTAAGAAGGTAAAAATAAAAGGAAAAAAAAAAATCTTTTGCGCCTTATGCATTAGTTAATGGGATCTTTAATAGAAAATAACAATAAATAAACAAAAATTCTTTTGCATCAACATAAATTTCTGCATCACTTCACACAATCTATATTTGTGCCGAATATGCGAAACAAAAAACATTAAATCTTGATTTTCTTTTTATTCAAATTACATCTTGATCTATTCCTTAAAATATTTTAAAATTTTTATGGATAAAAGACCATATTTGCATCAAAGACATTTCTACTAATGTGTTTTGTCCTAGGTGTGGTTTTAATCGAGAGTCAATTAGTTCGAAATCTACTTCTATTTGACAATATGTTGGTGTGATGTTTCACATGGATGTAGTCACTATGGACTTTAGAGCTTGGTTGCATCACCATGTTGAGGATTATCAAGGAGTTCTTTTTGCAGTTATTTGTTGGTGGTTATAGAAGTCATGGAATCATGTAACTTTTAATGAATCTAAGTGGCTCATTTAGTATATTGTTTGATGCATTCAAAATATGCATTTGGTCATCACACATTCTTTGGTCAAACCAATTGTGAGATGTATAGAAAATTTAGTTTGTTGGCAACCTCCTATTGGGAACACCATTAAGCTTAATATTGATGGTAGGTCTCATGGGAATTGGGTAGCTTGGGGTTTAGAGGTTAAGTTTCATGATGTTTCTGGTATATGGTTTTCTGGTTATTTTGATTCGTGTGAATTTTCCTTTAATTTAAATATAGAATTATTTGTTATTCTTTATGGTCTACAGTTAACCTGGACTAATGAATATTATTTTCTTGTAGATGAATCGGATTCTGAGCTTGTTATTCATCTCATAAATAATGAGATTGTCCCAATTCATCAATATGCTCCTCTTATTTATAGAATCCACTCTTTGTTATCTCGTGCATGAAATGTTAACTTTATTCGTGCTTATAAGGAAGCAAACGTTTGCACTGATTGGATATGAAAATAGGGTGCAACTTCATTCTCACCTTGTGAAGTATTAAGGCGTTGTTCATCTTCTCTTAAACACTTTGTCAGTATTAGATGTTGTAAGAACTTAGTTTATTGAGTAGGTTAGTTACTATCTCTTATATTTATTTCCTAAACATTAAAAAAAATGTTACATTTTGATTTGCATCTAAATATGTAAAACAATATCAATAAAGAATATAACTCATATTTTGATTATAATCTATTAAAAATAGAAAAGAAAATAAGAGTGAGAAAAAAAATTTCATCTTGTTTAACATTTGTTCATTTAAATAAAAAAAGAAAAGACATTAAAAGAAAGTGAATAAAGATGAAATAAATAAAATGCAATAAAATAAAAAGAGAAATGAACTTTTAGTTGAAATTAGGTTGATGCAATATCCATCATCCTAAAAATGATGAGATAAAAGAAGAAAAAGAAAGAAAAGCAAGTTAGACCAAAGACTTGCAAAAATAGTTCAGACAAAAGTTAGAATATAAAATAATAATAACAATAAAAAAATAATAATAATAAAATAGGACTACTTGGTTTAAGTATTCGAGAACATTTTTATTTTTATTTTAAAAAAATTATATAAGTTCTACGATTAGGAATTAGTTCTTAATTTTTTTATTAAAGAATATATTAATTTTAAAAAAATTAAAAAAAATTATTCTACATTACAATGTTGAACTTTAAAAAATTATGTTACTAATCAAGGAAAGCCTAATTCTAGCATTAGAAAAGTTATTTACAATTTAACGATTATCGATGCTAGCGGAGGAAAGCAATTTGCATTTACCCCTACATGGCCCTAATTCCTAAATATCAATAAAATAATAAAAACGTTTTTTTAATGATAATCTCTAAGTAATTTTCCATGTTTTTGTAGATGTCCGCTGTTTCTCTTGATATTAATATTTTTAATGGAGGTAACTCTCTTTTAGAGCGTATCATAATAGACGAAAAATGGCAAAAGAAATTCCTATTAGTGTTTTTATCAGAGTATTATTTATCAGCATATTGTTACAAGATATTAAGACTAATTCTGCAGGTACTGTTCTAACTAAGATGATATTCTAACAATTACTCTGCGACAATGTAATTCGTATTATGAATGTAGGCTGACACTGGTCAAGATTTCATTTCATCTGATGTCGCTGCCTTTTGGTTAGAGTATCGTGTTTGTTGGGGCATGCATCTTTACCAAATGAATATGGCATCTCTTACCCTCAGAAATATATATATGGCGTCTCTTGTAAAATTTTATAATAAAACAACATTAGTACGTTGTTATAAGATTTAACATTAGTTTTACACTACGTAATAAAATTTTATTTTGGACCTCTAAATTGAAAACATATCCCATTCCATAGTACCAAGAATTGTAACTCCTACCTGTTAAGGAAAGAATATTATTAATACTTTTGCAGAATCAATAATTTAATCCAAATCTTGATTGAATTTTTATATTAAACATAAAAAGGCATCAAATTGCATGCCAGGGATTCTAAAGTTTTAAGTTTTAAAATAAATATAACAAATGAATAACAACAAAAACAAAATATAAGACTAGATGTATGAAAAAGGAAGTGTGGAATATTAAAGAAAGCAGAAGGGAGCATAATGTTCTTATTATAAACAAATGACAATAACACCCCTAAAGTTTCTTAACGTTGTACAAGATTAACCTCATTTTTAAGGTCTGCAACAGTATCCCAAACAATATTAAGTAATCCTGCCTAAAAAGGTCAAAACGAAAGAGGCAAAATATACGTCCAGAGCCGGAGCCCCACAAGAAGACCACACAACACAAGGTCGTACCATTTCAGCTAAGCATGACGAAAAGGAAAATTTCCCATTACCGTATAACGAATGACTGGAGATTGGAGACTAATACCTATTTTTCTTTTTAGCTTCCACATCCTTCACAAACAATTCTACTCAGAATAATTATACAATAAGTTTAAATTTGGAGCACTTCTCCCAAAGTGATTCAAACCACGGCACTAAATATTAATTCTAGCGTGAAAACTTATAACTATATATTTTGATTGCATAATGATAATTATTTTCATTTACACCTGCTTCAAATAACCAATAAAATAACAGTATTTCCGATATGAACATTCAACATAACCTCCACGGGGATAATAGTAGATTGGAGTAACATTGGCACAGACTAGCTGTTTGGAGTCATTATTAGTCTCTGGAAGCAACCAAGATCTTCCAGACAAAATCAGGATGCTATTTTCTTTAACAAAAACTTGAATAGCACATCTGAGAAGTTGCAGAATAGACTCCGTGTCAGTAATCTAAACATTATGGTAAATGATGTATACTAGCCTTGGTCTTTGGGATATTATCACCTGACCCACTAACAATGGTATGTCCTGAAAACAGACACATAAAAAGTCGCACGAACAAGTAGACAACTCTCAAATTCCTTGAATGTGAATTAAACTGCAAAAGATTGCATGAGATTAGCTAGACCACCTGCGCCATTCAGACTCAGATACATACACAAACTTGAACTGGAAATCCGAAATCCAAACGTTATTCTAAAAACAATCCTCACTCATTTGGCTTGTTTTTAAATTGCCATTTAAAATGAAATGCAAGTCCCTTCAGAAACTTGTTTAACACCAATATTACCTCCTGGACTCCTTGCTTCCAATGGCTCTTTGATTGAATAAAATTAAGACATAAAAACTTTATTGATATCATCAACACTTAAAAGAGCACAACCAAAAAGACTAGCATGTACATGACAAGTGAACAGAAGCACAGAAACATGCCTAATCTTGCTGAGCATGATTTATCAAAGTAGGTGCAACAGAAATTGGCACCACTTCATTATATTATACAACATAAAAATACTGAGCACCTGAAGCAGGTCAAGAAAGTTCAAATCCAGCATTTGAACTGATAGCATATAGAAGCTTGGCTCTCAAAGTGCCTGGACGTTTGTATGTTGGTAGCTGTAATTATGAGAGGTGGAAAATAAAAGTGTAAATAATTCAGGAGTATAACTAGAGATTGCCTAAAAATGCCAACAATTTTGTCTCCAATGACTCAAATCACTAAATAGACATGGCTAGTTAGTGGACATCCAAAAGTCCCTACTTATTGCTTAGAAACCTATTTATATGATATTTTGATGCATAAGATTATGAAAATTTCGAGATCCTCATGT